CACCTGTTAAATTATAGTCTTCAAAATAGTATTTTCCCAACAATGTGGAAGTCAGCAAATGTTATCCCGGTACCTAAAGTGAAAGTTCCCAAGGAATGTAAAGACTACAGACCGGTCAGTATCCTCTGTGTCCTGGGAAAGGTGCTCGAGAAAATTGTCCACAAGCAGGTGATGGAGTTCATAAATAAACACTCAATTTTACCTCACAAACAGTCAGGGTTCAGAAAAGGACATAACACAGAGACAGCACTGTTAAAAGTAACTGATGACATCCGTGAGGCTATGGACGAGAGAAAGATGAGCCTTTTGGTGCTCCTAGATCTCAGCAAAGCTTTTGACTGTGTACACCATGACGTCCTGCTTGCAAAACTTAAACATCTTGGGTTCTCTGGGGCAGCAGTGAACTGGTTCCGATCCTACTTGTCTAAAAGACAACACAGAGTCTTTATTTCTGACATTTTGACTTCTGCCTGGGCTGAAATAAAAACTGGTGTTCCTCAGGGGAGTGTACTAGGGCCCTTGCTGTTCTTAATTTATATGTTTGACCTTCCGGATGTAATTAAAGAATGTCACTACCATATGTATGCTGATGATATTCAGCTGTATACTCATTTCTCTGTTAATAACTTTAAGAAATCTCTAGAAATGTTAACTGTTAATATATGCAATGTAATTGATTTCTGTAGTCGACACAATCTAGTGCTAAATGTCACAAAGACCCAAGCAATCATAATTGGAACCCAGCAGTATCATACAACACTACAGGAGTCAGAAGTACCTCAGCTAATCATCAAAGATTGTACCATTCCCTACTCAGAAACTGTTTGCAACCTAGGAGTTCACTTTGACACAACGCTGTGCTGGTATCGTCATTGTGTCCATATTGTTCAAAAGGTCTTTAGCACGCTTGCTCAGCTGAGGAGAACGTTTTCGTTCACTCCACTTACGATACGTAAAATGTTGGTATCATCCTTAATTATGCCTCATTTTGAATATTGTAGTGCATTGTTTACAAACTTATCTGTTACAAATAGTATCAAAATCCAAAGACTGCAAAATGCCTGCATTAGATATATCACTGGTGTTTCAAGGTTCGAACACATTACTCCCTGTTATAAACAACTTGGCATTTTAAAACTTGAGGAGCAGCGCTTGCTACATGTTGCTACGTTAATTTGGAAAATTGTAAAATTTGGTTCACCATTGTATTTGTCGGAAAGATTCAGCTTTACCTCTGAAGTCAAAGTGCGTGAAACCAGAGCGCACAGCAAAGAACTATTCTTCACGATCCCCAGAACTGAAATATATCGCCATTCTTTCACTGTTCAATCATGTAAAGTCTGGAATAGGTTGAAGCTGTTTAATTACCAACACCTGACACTCGGTTCATTTAGAGGTGTTATCCACAAAATTGTTTCTAATTGACCTGCATATATGTGCTAATTAATTGTTATTGTAATTATTTTTGTTATGTATTACATATTCGCTGTAATATTTCTTCCTGCTCTGAGAGCGGGGACCATTGTAGCGGGGCTTATTAGCCCTTTTATGGACCCCAAATAAACCAATTCAATTCAATTCAATTCTCTCTCTCTCTCTCTCTCTTCCTCTCTCCCTCCCGCTCTATCCCTCTCTATCCCTCTCTCCCTCTCCCACCCTCCCCACTCTCTCTCTCTCTCTCTCTCACCCCCCCCCTCTTATCCACCAGCAGGAGATGTATTTTTTCGCACGGCAACAGTTGCAGGCCGGAGGCAGAGCAGCGCCACTCCCCGCTATATTGCTGTTAGTGAATCTCGCCCGCAGATGCGACTGGAGTTGATTGCCCCCCGTAGAGCCTCCCG